GAGGGGTCGTCGGTGACGTAGTCGATCATAGGGGCAGCATCGGTCTCGGGGTCTACCGGAGAGAAGAGGGGGAAGAAACAGTAAATATAAAGCAAACATAGCATCACAAAGCATAACATGGCAATATGTTGTGCCGGGTGTGACCTAACGTATGGCTACACGATATAGGTGAAGGGAGAATTCAACCGGGAATGTTTTCCCGGTTCCGGACCTATGTCAGACAGATGACCGGAGGGGGAATGTTCCATGTTCAGCCTACTAGGGGCATGTGACAGATGAACGGACTGCGTATTCAGATTCGTCTCGTTTTTCTGAGCAACTTTCATGTAGAAAACATTTTCATCCGAGCTACGGCTTATTTTCTATGATTTTCTAAAGTTTTAACAATATTCTGAATTTGTTTTAATTACTAAATTCGTCAGAAAAATGAATTATGACGTCATGCTGGCGTCAGCCCTGCGTTAGCGGTCAACAAACCAGTTGACTAGTCAATGGGGCCCACGTGGGGCCCACAGACAGTGACAGGGCGTTGTTCATTCAGCATCTGACTGGGTCAACGGGACCCAGGGGCCCAGTGGCAGCGGCTGTGGGGAGTTCCACGTGGACAGCCACGTCAGCGACGCCGGAAACGGCACCGGAGTTGCTCCGGTGGCCTCCTACGGCGGCGAGCTCGCCAGAGACGCTCGGAAAACCAATACGGGGCACCGTTTAGCGCGGCTCTTGCTGCGTTTGAACGGTTACTCCACCCCGCATCGGTTGGTGGCAGCAGGACGAGCAGGGGAGGTCGGCAGGGCCGCCGGCGTTGAGTCGTGGCGGCTATATGGCTCGGATGTGTGACGGGGATGGCGAAGCAGCGTGCTACAGAGCGAAAGGAAAGGCTGGGAAGGATCCCCGTGGTGCGGTGATTCCAATGGGCTTGAGCCTGTGACCAAATGGTCATCGGACCCTCGCCGGCGGCGAGCTCCGCGGCGATGCGTTCGGGCGCTCATCGGGGATGGCGCTAGGAGGCATGGGAGGGAGCGTGTGCGTGCGCGTTAGGCTCCTGGGAACCCCAGGAGCACAACTGTGAGCTCGGGCGAGCGTGTCGATGGTCACAACGACGGCAACGAGCTCGTCGGCGGAGTGTTCGATCATCGGTGGCATCGGTGGCTACAAAACGCGGACGAGCTAACGTAAAGGGGGAGGAGAAGCAGGAGCTCACAGAGGAGCCGTAGGGAGTGGCAGCGAGCTCGGGGAGGCGCGTAGCGTCCGAAATCGACGGCGACAGACGACGGTGATCCGAGGAAGGGGAAAAAGATGGCGCGGCGATGTAGTGGCTCCCGTCCCCAACGGCTTGCTGTAGAGGACGTAGTCGACGACAGCGGTGCTCGGGAACGCGTTGTCAAGGTGCGGCGTGGACGGTGGCCACGTTGACGGCGATCGGTGGCGACGAGCTCGCGCGGCCGAGCTCGGGATCGAGCGAGAGGAGAGGGGAGAGGTGGATCTGGGAGAGGAGAGGCGCAAGTGGGAGTGGGAAGAGAGGATCGAGGCGACGCGGAGGGAGGGGATCCTTATCCCCTCATCAGCGAGGCGCGAGGCGACGAGCGGGTTCGACAGCGACCACGGGCGCGGGTCGGTCGAACAGGAGAAGGGGGAAGGCGACAAGGGAGGGGGAGTGGGCCGGCTGGGGATGGGCCGACGGATAGCTGGGCCGTTTGGCCCAATGGGAGGGGTCAGTTTCCTTTTGTTTTTGTTTTGCCTTTTCTTTTTTTATTTCTCTTTTATGTTAAAATCAGAGACAGCTAGGGAAAAGTTTGGGCTACCAAATACTTTTAAAAAATGTGGGACTAGGCCACTTAAAATCTTTCTAGTATTTGGCACTGCCACAAAAAGTTTGGGGCCATAAGGACTTGTCCAAGCATTTTTAGAAAAAGAAAAGGACATCTTAAATACTGCTGGACCAGATAATAAATTCTCAAGGGCAATTTGGGAATTCCAAAAATGTTGGCTTCATCATGACAAATATCTAGGGATTATTTTCCATAGGATGAACTATTTTACTTGCATGAAAGAAGAAGGAAATATTTGACATGCAATTTGAAGCAGATTTTGGACAAGTGGCATTTTGGCATGATGATCATGATGACATGACCTTCATTAGGGGGAGATTATTGTAGTGTGATGTTAGGGATGTTACATCACCCCCCCCCCCTCTAGTTCCATCTCAATCCTTTCAGCTCTCTTGACTGTGCCTTCTCCAGGATCACCCGGGCCCTATCGTCCACTTGCCGGCTTCTTCTTGGTGCAATGGGTGGAGTACGTTGGTCTGTGTTATCCTTGGGTCTTAGTAGTGTTGTAGAGGTCTTTGGCACTGGTGTGAAGCGGCTCGGTTGCTATGTGATTTGCCTCATCGCCATTGGCATGAGGTTGGTCTAGGTCGAGCATGTATTGTAGTACGCATGGTGGGTGTGTTTTGTGAATGTGGCTGCTAATCCATGTGATTGGCGTTGTAGTGGCCGAAAGGCTTGTATCCGGCTTCTTTGCCTCTTCTTCTATCAATATATGATACGCATGCTTGTGCGTATTCGAGAGAAAAATAGATCATGACAACACAAAAGAAACTGAAATTCTTTAGACACAAAGCAAGCAAAGTCTTCGCGACATAGTACATAAGTAAATGGGAGTGAAGTGATATCATTAGTTGCTTGACACATCCTTTGTTGAATCAGTTCCAGTTGTTTTGAAAACTGTACATCTAGTTGGAGAGACTGAGATTAAACTGGGAAGACCAAGCCTTCACCTTACTCTCCTTGAGCTAAGGTCACTTGGACCTCCGCCAATCACCCAGGCAAGTCTTCAAGGTAGACTTCTGAAACCTTCACAGACTCATTCTTTAGCTTTCCACAATTGTGTGCTGGAACCTCAGAACATGACGCCTAATCGTTCGGAAGATCACAGTCTTCAAGTATAATAAGTCTTCTGTTCATTCAAAACAGATTCTTCAGTGATGCTCAATCATTTTGGCAACTACAATGTCCCATAAAAGTAAATAGAAGTTTGATGAACCTTATGATCAAACTGAACACAACCTCAAATAGCTATGATTAAATATTTGTTTGCTAATGACATTGATGGGCATGTTACCCAATTTTGTGAGGAAGCAACTAAAATTGTTAAGCGTAGGAATCTTCCTAGTGTTGTTGGTGTCCTGTTATCTCCATTAAGATTGATACTTTTTGCTATCATGGGTTGTATGATATTGGAGCTAGTACAAGCGTCATTCCTTTTTTTCTCTTTATCAAGGGTTGCTGGAGATATTTCACATTGTGCAATAGTAGAAATTGATTTGACTATTAAACTGGTAGATAGGTTCAGTATTCCACCTATGGGACATTATTAGAGATATTGAAGTTCTGTGAGGCAAGACTTAGTATCCTATTAATTTCTTAATACTTTGAACTGATTAGGATAACTTCTGTCCCATTATCTTCGGCAAACCTTTCTTGAATACTTGTAGTGTTGTTATTGAATGCAAAAAAAAAGGTTTACATTAAGTCTGAGGACAATGAAGTTTCTGTTAACTTCTCTAAGTTCACTAAACAACGCCATGCTAAGCATACATGAAGCACAACTATGCTTTTGAGATTTTTGGAAGCATAGTTGTGCTTTTCACATTTCGAAAAGCACAAACACAATTGTATTTGTTCACATGGTATGCTTTACGGGAGGAAAAGAAAAAAAAATCACAAAAACCCATTAAAAAACTAGGCAAAATCCAAAAACCGAGGAAAAAACTTGAAACTCATAAAAAAAGAGAGACCCCACAGTTGTGCCCAGCATGCGACACGTAGCGCTGGCTGGGCGCACCGCATGGCAGCACACAAGCCGTGGAAGAGTCCCGCTGAAATCCCCCCTTACAGGGGTATCCACTATAAACTTTAAAGAACCATGTACAGAGGAAGATCAAACATGTGTACTAGCGAACCGCGCCAAGTACTGTAGCAACTGAACCAGGTACTGTAACGACACGGACCAGGCACAATAGCTATTTTATTTTGAAAATCCAAAATCTTTTTCTAAAAAACATGAATATTTTCTGAAAAACACAAACAAATTTAGGAAAAATTGAACAATTCTCTAAACACGAACTAGAAAGCACGAACATTTTTGAAGAACAAGAACAAATTTTGAAAATTCGAACAACTTAGGAAACACGAACAAGCTTTGGAACTATGAACATTTTTTTCAATCTGTGACCAAGTTTTGGAAAGCAGGAACATTTTATGAAATTTGAACAAATTTTGAAACCATGAATATTTTTTAAAAATTCAAAAGATTTTCGAAACAAGAACATTCTTTGAAATTCCAAATTAAATTTTGAATCTGGAAAAAAATTCCTTATCAGTTTTGGAAACATGGACATGTTTTGGAATTCTTAATCTGTTTTTAAATTTGTGAAGAAATTTTCAAAACGAGAATAGTTTTTGGAATTGTAAACAACATTTGAAGAATTGGAACATTTTTTTTTGAAATTCTGAACAAATATTTGAAACCACATACAATTTTAAAAACTCCCGAACATTTTTTAAATTTGTATTTTTTTTTTTTTGCAAAACGGGAACATTTTTGGTCTTTCGTCTCGCACTGGTTGTACTGGACTGGGCCTAATCCTGCCCCGGAACACAACCCGAACTCCAACATATTGACCCAGATCCAGACTACAGCGACACTCCTCATCCCGGCACACGAACCTCCTCCGATCCAGCCTAAAAAAAAACCCTCCTCCGATCCAGCAATGGCTGCTGCTGCGATGGCGGCGGCGGAGTGGTTCATCCTGTACGCCATCCCGAAGGTGGCAGCGCAGGAGGATGATAGCATCTTCGAGCAGCCCACCAACATGTCCTTCACCTTCAGAAAAGCTCCGTGCCCCTCCTACGTAACTGTCGCGAGTAACGTCGTCAGTCCCGACGGCATCATCCACTACCCCTACATCGCCGCGGACGACGGCCGCGGCATCTTTCTCCTCTGCGGTTACACCGTGCTCGGGCTCACCTACTACCTCTTCGATCCCTGGCGCCGCAGGACGCTGGGCGTCATCCCTCGCGTGGGCGGCCTCAGGCTCCGCGACGTCGCCGGCCTCATCCGCAGCGGCGGCGGCGACCGCCTCATGGTCGCCGAGCTCAACACGTGGCTCCTCGACGACCGTGGCTCCGTCACGATCCACTGCACGGTCGACATGTACGGCTGGGACGAGAAGAAGTGCAAGTGCTCCGGCATCACGGCCAAGAGACCGTGGAACGGAGACGGCGTCCTGTCCCACCAAGGCTTCCTCTGGTGGTTTGATCTCTCCTACTGCATCCTCGCCTGCGACCCCTTCGCCCCGGTGCCGGAGTTTTACCAGATCATGTTCCCGTCCGTCCCTGACGCGCTGCCCTTCGGCTGGAACCGCGACATACACCGCTGCTTAAAGGTGAGCGACGGCCAGCTGCGCTACGTTCAGATCCATGGTGCATCTGAGAAGCCGGTGGTCAGCATCTGGACGCTGTCATCCAGTGATCCGTCAAAGGCGACATGGGGAAGCCCGACCAGCCTCCCCTTGGATGTGGTTTGGGAGGACAGCAGCTACAGTGATGATGCCCGGTTGCGTCCGGGGGTCGTCCCTGCTTTGCCGCTGGTCCACCCCATGAACGCCAACGAGGTCTACTTCTTCTTGGACACATGCATCTTCGCCATCGACCTCACAAAGAAAAAGGTCGTCTGCTGCGAGGAGTTCGGCATTGGGTGGCTGCCGCCCAAAATCCGCACCTCCCGCCTGGTCCATGCTTGGCAGTGGCCGCGGCCGCGGCCGGTGAAGGTCACCAAGATGAGTCCTCAGTCTGGTACCATCTCCTTCCCACTCTCTCTTAACTGTTTTGGGGATTTATTTGTTCTCTAAATTGTTTTTAAGTGTTGATTTGATGTGATGGGGCACATATATATAGATGAAAAAGGGTTTCCCCTCGCTTTAGATCATAAATCAACCGCCCCAACAACATCTGACAACAAAGGCCATCTCATGTTCCAGCCAAAAGAAAGAAAAAGCACGGCGCCACATGAGCAACCAAGTCTAAAAGTACAATAAGCATCAGCTGGGAGCACAGCAAAACAAACCCATAAAGAGGAATCACAAGCTAACTAATCCTGCTCTGGTGGAGGAGGGGGGCCGGTGGCGCCAAGGACCCGGCAGTGGTACGAAGAGTAGAAGTGATCCTGTCGATGAAGTCCCGATCATGCCGCTTGCTCAGCGGTCTCCAGAGCCACCACCACCCACATCCATATATATCCGAAGCTTCATCAGATCTGGTTGAACATGATGGAAAGCTTGACGACCTCTCCATCAGTTTGGTCACTCACTCAGGGATGGCACAAGTCCAAACACCTTCATGTCAAACATATCATATCCAAAGCAACATTTTATGTATTCTCCATTTGCATTAATCACACTTGAGCATCACTATCACTATCTTGTCCTTCGCTTGTCGATGTAACACGACGCAGTTACTCCCTCCATTCCAAAATACATGACTCAACTTTGTACTAACTTTACAAAGTTGAGTCATCTATTTTGAAACGGAGGGAGTACCTCTGTAAAATTATCAGGAGGGGGACATGAGAATTCAAGTAAAATCATCAGGTGGGGAACATGAGAATTCAAGTACCTTTCCTGAATGAGGATTCTTGAATCCGAAAAAGAAACTATAGCCAAAGTCAAATGCAAGAAATATATCCTAAAAGGAAAATGAGACTAAAATATATATGTACCTACCCAAGCAATGCAGCATGGAGATATGGCATGTCTATCTTTGATACCAGATTTGAAAGATCGCCATGATATTTTGAAGGAGTTCTAGGTCTCAAAACTGACAATGCCATGCTTTTGGTACCTACGTACGTTTCATCACCAAATAGGAAGTTTGACTAGGGACAAAATTTATATCAAGACTAAAACGAAACAGAGAGAGTATTTGAGTATAGTTTCCCAAACATTGAGATGTACACTGTATACAAATTCAAAAGTCCAACGGTTGCCTAGAATGCTTTTCTAAGCCACAACAAATTCAAATATTGTAATTGTGATGGCCCCTCCTTAGAATACGAGACTATCGTGTAATGTAATCACCTGGTGAGTGCACCCTGTATCCAATCTCCACTCTACCAGTGCAGATCCACCACCACAAAAGGCCTCTCTTACTTTATACCTGTACAATTTCTTGAATTAGGAAAGAAATAAAATTTTGGTCTGGAAAAATACCTAAGCAATGCCTTGAAACAATGCAGCATCATATATGGAATCACAAAACAGAAGGCCAAAGTTAAAAGTATGAATCACCTACTGGCAGCACGCTTTGCATATCTGTGCCCTGATCCAGAAGCAGCAATCATACACGTATCTGGTTGTTAGGATCACAGGGTATAGGCACTTCAATTCTCGCAGAATATGGATTAGGTGTACCACAAGTAAGACTGCTTGAATTGTTCTGCTAATTGAACCTCTGAACTTATATTCCACCAATAGCAAATTGGTCAACATCAAATACGTCGATACTCATGTGTACTTCTGGCCAAATTTATATTGCTATCTTTGGTCCTGATAAGTTGATCATATTCTGGGAGCTTAAATTCACTGTCAATATATCTTTTCTTGATTTGAAGGGCCTGACGGGTTTCATGTCAACGAGATTGGTTTATTGACTCGGTGGAAGTCCGTGAAGGATTTCCATAACAGAGCTGCCATCATCATGAGGTGAGCCTATTTCTTAACCTATGTGGACTGATCCTTGTTGCATGATATGCTAGCTGCTTTACCCTAGAAAGACCAAAGTTATTTCTGCATTACAAATGTCTTTCTGCACTATATGTTTCAGAGCCTAATAAACGCAATCTTGTTTCAATTGATTCAGGTCGCGTTCCGAACTAGATGACACGGGTATGTAACATCCAAGCACGGACTGTTTTATTCCAGTGTTTTGGGCGGGGGGATGTTTATCAATTTATTTGATATGCTTGGGCTTAGTGAAGTACGGACTACAAATCAGCTTGTTTGTCTGAGCACTTAGTTGTATGATTGCTAACTAAATTATGGAGCATTACCTCTGTGTTCAGATCTCGACGATGACTCAGTTGACTCGGATACGAGCGAGGAGGAGATTTAGCAGTGCCCCTTCGTAGCCAGCAAACCTCCCACCCCTTGTCAGCTTCTTCATTGTCACTTATGTTGCCTCTACCGTGTTGCTCTTTAATTATTGACTTGTCAGACCTTAGACAAATATGTGATGCATGTGGATCTGTTTGGACGTCTTCTTTTCTGTAAGTTGGCAAGTGATCCGTATGCTGCTACATAAAAATATTGTTGTGGTTTGACGTGTATTTTGAAGCACTCTTTATATGGTGACCAACGAGAGCAGCTTTTTCTTGTGCAACCTGTATATTCTCTGAATCTTTTTAAGTCTTTTCTTCAAAAATGTGAAATACATTTTTCTGAAAAAAGTGGGCACCCTTTGGCTCTATTTTTATTAAATGAAGTAGCAAAGAAATAATATTTCCTCCGTCCCACAATATACGTCTTATATTGTGGGACGAAGGAAGTACCAATTTTACATGCCGTTGGCCTAGGAGACTGAAACAAAGCCATCAATTTGCAGATAAGTGGCGGAAAACTAGCCTTTCGTCGCTTCTGCCATTTTTTCGGTTCAGTTTTGGTTGCACGATGGGTTTACAAAAGTTAAACCGTGCCACCCCACCAAGGAATTAATCGTTTTATATTTTCCCGTTTTCATCCTCCCCATATTGAGAGAGCGCTTATGGGGAGGAGACAACTGTGGCGTGAATTTCTCTTGTTTACAGATGTTACTTTTTTTGCGAGAAAACTTTCAATCTATTCATCTTTAATCATGGTAGTATAATGAACACCAGAAATAATAAAAATTACATCCAGATTCATAGACCACCTAGCGACGACTATAAGGACTGAAGCGAGCCGAAGACGCGCCGCCGTCATCGCCCCTCCATCGCCGGAGTCGGGCACAACTTGTTGCAGTTGACAGTCGGGAAGTCGTCGTGCTAAGGCCCCACCAGCACGCCAGAACAACAACCGTCCCCGATGAAGAATAAGGTAGATTAGAAGGATCCAATCCAAAGACACACGAACCTAGACGAACAATGACGAGATCCGAGCAAATCCACCAAAGATAGATCCGCCGGAGACACACCTCCACACGCCCACCAACGATGCTAGACGCACCGCCGGAACGAGGGCTAGGCGGGGAGACATTTATTCTATCTTCAGAAAGCCGCCGCCGTCTCGTCTTCCTGAGTAGGACACAAACCCTAACAAAACGGAAAGGAACGACAAAAATCGGAGCCCTCTCGCCGGCCCTTGCCAGGATCCACCACGCCCCCATGGCCCTAGGGCCACCGAAGACGAGGCGGACCTGCGGCGACGCCGGCGAGAGGCAGGAACCCTAGCTTATTTTGAGGAGGAGAAGCGGCAGCTCGTTGGTGTCTGCAGTCACGTTTACAAATGTTACTTTTTTCTCCACAATAGCAATTTTCCCTCAAGTGGATGACCTAAGATTTATCAATCCGTGAGAGATGTAGGATGAAGATGGTCTCTCTCAAACGACCCTGCAACCAAATACAAGAAATATCTTGTGTCCCCAACACACCCAATACAATGGCAAATTGTATAGGTGCACTAGTTCGGCGAAGAGATGGTGATAAAAGTGTAATATGGATGGTAGAAATAGATTTTTATAATCTGAATAAATAAAAACAGCAATGTAGCAAATAGTAAATGGGCACAAAAACAGTATTGCAATGCTTGAAAATGAGGCCCAGGGTCCGTATTTTCGCTAGTGCAACCTCTCAACAATGCTAATATAACTGGATCATATAACCGTTCCTCCAAGTGCGATGAAGAATCACTCCAAAGTTCCTATCTAGTGGAGAACATAAGACAGAATTGTTTGTATGGTACGAAACCACCTCAAAGCTATTTTTTCCGATCAATCTATCCTAGAGTTCGTACTAAAATAACACGAAGCTATTCTTTCCGATCGATCTAACCAAGAGTTCATATTAAAATAATACCAAAGCAAATACAGATTCATAATATTCAATCCAACACAAAGAACTTTAAAGAGTGCCCCAAGATTTCTACCGAAGAAACAAAGATAAGAACGTGCATCAACCCCTATGCATAGATTACCCCAATGTCACCTCGGGAATCCGCGAGTTGAGTGCCAATATATACATCAAGTGAATCAATACGATACCCCATGTTCACCACGAGTATAAAATTGCAAGACATATATCAAGTGTTCTCAAATCCATAAAAGTATTCAATCCGTTAACAATGAAATCTCAAAGGAAAAAACTCAATTCATCACAACAAGATAGAGAGGGGAAAACACCATATGATCCGACTATATTGACAAAGCCCGCGATACATCAAGATTGTGACGTCTCAAGAACACGAGAGAGAGAGAGAGGGAGAGAGAGAGAGAGATTAAACACATAGCTACTGGTACAAACCCTCAGCCCCGAGGGTGGACTACTCCCTCCTCATCGTGGTGGCCGCCGGGATGATGAAGATGGCCACCGAAGATGATTCCTGCCTCTGGTAGGGTGCCGGAAAGGGTCTAGATTGGTTTTCGGTGGCTACAGAGCCTTGCGGCGGCAGAACTTCTGATCTAGGTTAACTTCGAGGGTTTTCGGAATATTTGTGAATTTATAGGGTAAAGAGGGGGTGTGGTAGGCCACCAAGGTGGGTACAACCCACCTGGGCGCGCCTAGGCCCCCAGGCGCGCCCTGGTGGGTTGTGCCCCCCTCAGGGCACCCCCTAGGTGCTGCTCTAGCCCATTGGTGGTCTTCTGGTCGATAAAAAAATTGACAAAAAGTTTCGCGGTGTTTGGACTCCGTTTGATATTGATTTCTTGCGATGTAAAAAACAAGCAAAAAACAGCAACTGGCACTGGGCACCCGATCAATAGGTTAGTTCCAAAAAATGATATAAAGTTGCTATAAAATAATTGTAAAACATCCAAGAATGATAATAAAACAACATGGATACTTCATAAATTATAGATACGTTGGAGACGTATCAACATCTCCGAGCTTAATTCCTACTCGTCCTCGAGTAGGTAAATGATATAAGAAATAATTTATGAAGTGTGAATACTAACAAAGTGCATAAGTTTGATCAATGATAATTTCAATCACTTTTCCTAGCATCATAACAACAATTCTTTCTTATGAAACTTCTCATGTTAAAGTAGCAACCAATTCACATGTTAAGATTCAAATAATGAATTCTCTTGAAACTCAACAACCTATGTTCTCAGTCACTAAGCAATTGTAATTCAACTTATTCTCCACATACTCAACGATCATATAGTCTTCTATGATTGCTAACACTCACCGCATACATATGAGCAAAACATTTCAACCGGACACATAGAAAGATATGGGCTTATTGTTTTGTCTCCCAACGTATTCACCTCAAGGGTGATGTCAACAATAATAACTCATGCTACCCATATCCAACTGGATATATGTGCCTAGATCTTTCCTCACCACATGATGCTTGCCAAAAGAGAAAAATAAAAAGGAATAGAGAGAAAAAACGTTGACTCTTTGCATAAATGTAAATACTAAAAAGTAAAAGATAATCCCTTTGCAGAGGGAAGCAGAGGTTGCCATGCACTTATTTGTTTATATGCTCAACCCCTTAGTGCAAAAGAACGTCATGTTATATTGCCCCTTATGATAGCAACCTTTATTATGTAGTCTGTCGCTTTTATTATTTGCCATCACAAGTTCGTACAACGCTCAATTTTCTCTTACACTAAATGATCTAACACTTTTAGAAGCAATTTTTATTGCCTTATTGCACCGATGACAACTTACTTGAAGGATCTTATTCAAACCCTAGGTAGGTATGGTGGTCTCTTGAAAATAAGATTTGGGTTTAAGGGTTTTTGGATGCACAAGTAGTATCTCTACTTGGTGCGGAATTTTTGGCTAGAAAAGATAGGGGGCAAGCACCACATGTTGAAGGATCTATGACAATATAACTTCTATGTGAATATGAACAAATATAAACCATTACGTTGTCTTCCTTGTCCAACGTCAACAATTTTGCCATATAATATTTTGATGGGGGCTCACAATCACAAAAGATTTCCAAGATAGTGTATTTATATGTGAAAGTTCTCTTCCTTATACTAATTATTCGTGAATTGCTTGTATGCCCAATATTGTGAATGTCAAGCATCAAAAGATTTCACTTTCTAAACCCACTATGAAGCTACCACTAGGCATGATATGATTTCAACTTTATGACATTAAATTTATTCAAGAATTTACTCATAGGGTATAAGTGAAGCACAAGAGTAAATGACACAAGCTACTCCGAAAATATATAAATGAAGATCATGAGCATAATATTTCTTTCTCTCAAATTAATTTAATTGAAGTAAGAGTGAATTTCTTCAAAAATACTAAAGCACACCATGCTCAAAAAGATATAAGAGAAGCACTAGAGCAATTACATAGAAAAGAGCTTCATTGACGGGATGTGAATGCCGCTTGCCTAGCCTCCCTGGCAACTATTTGAGGACTCTATTTTATTTAAGAACTTTTAGATCTAAGTACTTTATTAAAACAGAAAGCAAACAAAATAAAATGACATTCCAAGGATAGCACACATCATGTGGAGAAGCAAAAACTTAGGCTTAACCGATACTAACTGATAATTGTTCTTGAAGAAAGGTGGGATGCCTACCAGGGCATCCCCAAGCTTAGATGCTTGAGACTTCTTGAAATATTATCTTGGGGTGCCTTGGGCATCCCCAATCTGAGCTTTTGTGTCTCCTTAATTCTTCTCATATCTCGGTTTCCTTAAATCTCAAAAGCTTCATCCACACAAACCTCAACAAGAACTCGTGAGATAAGTTAGTACAAATCAATGCAAAAACCTTATCATTCTATACTGTAGAAAATCACTAAAATTATTATTAAACATTTCATACTAAATTCCTCTGCATATTTAATACTCCTATCCTTAAATAGAATCATTAAACAAGCAAACATATGCAAACAATGCAAACATAACAGCAATCTGCCAAAACAGTACAGTCTGTAAAGAATGCAA